CTCATTTCCTCGAGTTGGAGCCTGAACAAATTGAGAAGGAGAACGCGACACGACAAAGGAACCAGGATGACGGAAGTGAAGCCGAAGGGGAGTATATCGTGGAGGCTACATGCAAAGCTGATTTCGGACCAAGGTAAGCTTCCATATCCCGAATCAGTCCTCATTTAAGCTAATGGCGGGAGAACTAATAGCAATGACATTTAATTTATAACATATTAACATCTTTTATATTATAAATATTGTATATGTGTATATCCATAACTCCCAACTCTTAGGATTCTTAGTAGATTTCTTTGTTCTTTTTTTAATGTCATAGACCTATAACCTCCCCAACGAATGACTTGGGAGGAGTTTTTCATACTTAATATCATTATGCTCTTCTTCATTTCTTTGTAACCTTGAGATTAGATCTTAATGATTGGAGGTCTATAAATAGAGGCTATGTGCAAGGAATTAATTGGTACTCATATAAGTGAATGAGAAACTCTCACTTTCATAATATTATAACATATCCTCCATAATAGATAAGTATTTGGAATTATAAAGATAAAAAGATGTGTCTTTACACATTATAAAAAGATGTGTACACTAAAGAAATAAGTTTATTTTCAAAAATAAAAAAGAATATTAAAGGTTACTGCAAATTTCTTTAAAAATAGTAATTGTTGCATTCTTTTTTAAGTTTTTCTTTTAAATTAAATATCTTAGTATATTAAGTTCCCAATCTTTTAAATATATTTTGGTTGAAACATTTAGCTTTTTTTTTTTTTGTTTCGTTGGAGGTTCACTAACAGTACACGTAATTAGGCTGGTTTTGGATTTTAAATTTGGATGTTACAATTTGTTCTTTCAATGCATACACACTTTACTCTTCATTTTTATTGATCTTTGCTGTCTTTCTTCATTAACTTTTTGGACTTATTCCATTATGCTTTTTTTCATAAAAGAACAATTTATTTATAGATAAAATGAGTGCAATAGATTTAAAAAGAAAAAAAAGTTTGTCAAACTCTTGATGAATCACTAGAAGGCCGAGCATGCTAAACCTCGAAAAAGACAAATTGCTACAACCATACCAATTGAGCCAAAAAAACAAAATACTACCTCCTGTCCTAATTATAAGACCTTGTTTATAGTTTACAAACAGGATCTTACAATTAGGACTGGAGATAGTAATTATCAAAGTCAGGCCTCAAAATCATAAAAGCATAACAGACGGTAATAACCAGTAGGCATTTTGTATTTCATATTTTCAGTGTGTCATGTACAGTGAGCACTATTCCTTATATAGGCACTGGTGAGAGTGAGAAAATAATAAGCATGTGGTATGAGAATAATAATCTAGAATACTAGTGCTAGCTAAAGACTATAGATTGAATTGGGCTCCAGTAGAATTTGAGTCTTGTTGGGCTGCTGTGGTGTTGGTGCTAACATGCCCTCGTAAGTCCAAATGTGAAAGATGAACATTGAGACTCATACGTAACCATTTGAACCGAGTTGCAACTAAAGGTTTGGTCAGTATATCTGCCAATTGGTCATAAGAGGAAATAATGGCAAGTCGCAAAGATTCCGCTGCAACTCTTTCACAAACAAAGTGATGGTCAAGAGCAATGTGTTTTGTTCGAGAATGAAAAATTGGATTTGTTGCCAAGTAAGTAGCCCCCAAGTTATCATAGTACACAATGGGTGCCTCAGGGAGACAGATGCCAAGTTCTCCTAGTAAATTCTGAACCCAAGTAATCTCACAGGTGGCAGTGGCAAGAGCTCGGTATTTAGATCCGGTGCTTGATTTGGAGACGGTGGGTTGCCTCTTAGAGCTCTAGGAGACAATGTTTGAACCAAGAAAGACAACATAACCTCTAGTACACCGTGAATTGGGTTGAGAACCCCCCCAATCAATATCAGAATGATCTTTTAAAGAAGAGGCAGCAAAATAAAGAGTCATATGTGTGGACTTATTTTTAAGTAAGCCAAAATGATATGTGCCACAAAGATAGCGAAGAATTCATTTAATAGCAGACCAATGACCCTTAGTAGTATGATGCATAAATTGGAAGATTTTATTTACAGTAAAGGATAAGTGGGGTCTGGTAAAAGAGAGATACTAAAGACTCCCTACAACACTCCTATAGAGAGTGGGGTCGTTGAAAGGTTGTCCTGAGTTTGTTAATTTTGAGTTAATAGCCATAAGAGTAGACATTGGCTAGACATTAAGCATTTTGGTTATGGCAAGAATGTCAAGAATATATTTCTTTTGAGTCAATAAGATACCCTCAGGATGATTGTCAACTTCAACACCAAGCAAATAATTGAGAGGGCCTAAATCTTTAATGGGAAATGAAGAACCCAATAATTGAAGCAGTTTAGAAATAGCAGTAGGAGATGAGCCAGTGAGAATGATGTTATCAACATAAATGAGCACATAAATTTAATAGAGTGAGGAGGAGTAAATGAAAAGGGATGAATCAAATTGGGAGGCAAAAAAACCAAGATCAAGCGAGCAAGAACTTAACCTTGCAAGCTATGCTCGTGGTGCCTGTTTGAGACCATAGAGAGAGCAGTGAAGTTTACAGACGTGGTGAGGAAAGTCTGGATGTATGAAGCCAGGTGGTTGACTCATGAATATGTCATCATTAAGGAAACCATGTAGCAAGTCGTTCTGCATATCTATTTGCCGAAGAGACCAACCCCTGGAGACGGCAAGGGCCAGAATCGTGTGAATTGTAATGGGCTTTACCACTGGGGAGAATGTTTTAGCAAAGACAATGCCTTCTTGTTGATAAAAGCCCTTTGCAACCAATTGGGCTTTGAGGCAATCAACTAATCCAGATGGAGTGTATTTAACTTTGAAAATCCATTTGCAACCTATTATATTTTCAGAAGGGGATAGAGGAACAAGCATCCATGTTTGAGTGTTGAGAAGAACCTAAAACTCTTCGGCAATGGCATGATGCCATCAGGAGATTGAATCTTTAGCAATAGAACGAGGCACAGCAATAGAGAAAATGGCAAAGAATGCTTTCAGCAGAGACCATCGTATGGTATCACCTGTGTGAATCTTTGGTTTAGAGATATGCGCCCATGCTCGACTGACCATAAGATGAGTAGGTTGAGGTGGTGGAGTGGGTGATTGTGAGGATGGGGTGTCAGATGTAGCAAAGAGGTTGGGAGAAGAAGAAGGGGAAGAGGATGATGATGGGGATGGCGAGTAGGATAGAGACAGGGAAAGAGACAGGGTAGGTTGAGGGGACTATAGGCCTTGTACACGGTGAATTAGGCTTAGAGGGGTTTGGAATGGCGATAAGGGGTTAGTGGGTCTTGGTGTATAAAAGGGTAAGGGAGTGGTGGAAGAGGTGTTGGGCTGGGTAGAAGGTATTGGATCTTTAAAGGGAAAGGTGGACTCGTCAAAGATCACATCTCTGGACTTATAAAATTTTCCTATGGACAAATCCAAACAGATATAACCCACATGATTAATGCAATAACCAAGAAAAGCACAGTGAGTGGATCTGGGTTAAAATTTATTTTTGTTATATGGATGAAGGTTAGGCCAACATGAGGAACCAAAAACTTTCAAAAACTTGTAATTTGGTTTAATTTTAAAGAGAAGTTCAAAGGGACACATATTGTGCAGTTTTGGGCTTGGAAGATAATTGATTAAGTAGGCGGCAATGGCAAAGGCAAAAGTCCAATATGGTTGAGGGACATGTGCGTGAGTCATAAGAGTGAGACCTTTATCAACAATATCTCTATGTTTTTGTTTAATAGTTCCATTTTGTGTGTGTGTGAGGACATGTGATGCGATGGTGAATCCTAAGAGAAGAAAGAATGGTGTGTAGGGAACGGAATTCGCCTCCCCAGTCAGACTGAAAATAGCGTATTTTACAATTGAACAGATTTTCAATAAGGGTGCGAAAGGAAAGAAAAATAGCAAAAACTTCATTCTTTGATTTAATAGCAAATAACCAGATGTATCTAGAAAAATCATTGACAAAGGAGACATAATATTTAAAACCATCAACAGACACAACTGGGGAAGGACCGTATACATCACAGAAAATTAAATTTAAGGGTTTAGTGAAACGATGAGGAGACGAAGGCGACGATAAATTATGACTCTTGGAGATGCAACAGGATGGACAGATGTGGAGACTCGGTGAAGTAGACACTGGAAGTGAGTTGTAGTTGATGATGTGATTGACCACACCAGGCACTAGATGACCAAGACGATTGTGCCATTGAGTAATGGAAGTGCGTTCACCAAGATGAGCAGAAGAAGTAGTGAGTGTTGATAGGATAGAGATTATTGTGGCGAGGTCCTTGAAGAAGTATTTTGTTGGTGCAGCAATCCTTCATAAGAAAATAAGAAGAGTGAAATTCAAAAAAGACATTGTTATCTAACAAAATTGAGCAACAGAGAGAAGATTTTTTGTAATGTGAGGAACATGTAGAAGTTGAGTTAAGAGGTATTTGCCAGAAGCAAAAGGTAGTTGACCAGAACCAATGTTTTGAATGGGTAGAGGTGCGACATTGCCAACTCGAACAGAGTCAGGACCAATGTAAGGAGTAGAGCCAAGGGTGAGGTTAGAAAACTGGGAGGTCATGTGATTTGTGGCTCCTATGTCAAGGTACTAGAGAGTGTCATCAGGTTGGTGTGGAAAAGCAAAGTAGTGAGTGGTGATGCTGGAAGGGCTTGGGGCTTGATAGGTATGGTCATATCGATGAAAGCAATGTTTTGCTATGTGGCCAGGTTTATCACAGACTTGGTAGGGGGTCTCTTGTTCAAATGTGAAGTAGCAGCCTCCTCTGTTGGAATGTCTACCTTTGAAGTTTGTGTGGCTGCCATTATTGTAGTAACAGCCACCACGTCCGTGAGAAAAGAAACCATGACCAACACCGCGTCTGCTTTGATTTTGAGAATATGTGTTCTGCTAAATGGCAACATTTGCAGCAGGGGAAGGAAGTATGGGTGCAATACTGTCAGCAAGTAAAATTTTTTGTCAAGCTTCATAGGTGAGGAGATGGCTGAGGATGTCTTTTGGAATGAACTGAGCTTTCAGAGTGGTTAAGACAGTGAACATTGAGTCATAATCGGTGCCTAAGCCAGCAAGAAGATAGGCGTTGAAAGCAGAATCAGGAACAGGGCTACCAGAGGCAGCAAGAGAATCACTGATCATCAGGGCTTTGTTGTAGTAGTCTAAAATGCTTTCATTGCCCTTTTTGAGAGATGTAAGTTGTTGCTGGAGATGAAGCACCTTGGCTTGAGATTGCTGGGCAAAAGAGGTTTCTAAAGCAAGCCATATAGCATGAGAGGTTTTATGATGTATGACCTAGGCAATGAACTTCTTAAACAAGGACGAGATGAGTAAAGAAACAACGAGTTGATCCATTTCAAACCATTTTAGATAAGCTAGATTGGGGGAACTATCAGGGATTTCGGTGGGTAGTGGAGGATTGGATCCGTCGATGTAGCAAAAGAGACGTTGGCCGTAGAGGTAGGGAAGCATTTGAGCACGCTAGACAAGATAGTTGTCTGGCATGAGTTTGAAAGTAAGGTAATGGGGGACATTTGATGGAAAGACGGTGGGGTTGTTGGAAGAGAAGGATTACTAGGACTCACTCATGGCGGTGGAGGCACACCCGCTCTAATACCATATCAAAATCAAGGCTCAAAATCATAAAAGCATAATAGACATTAATAACCAGTAGGCATTTTTTATTTCATATTTTCAATGTGTCATGTACAGTGAGCACTATTCCTTATATAGGCACTAGTGAGAGTGAGGAAATAACAATCACGTGGTATGAGAAGAATAATCTAAAATACTAGTACTAGCTAAAGACTATGAACTGAATTGGGCTCCAGCAGAATTTGAGTCTTGTTGGGCTGCTGTGGTGTTGGGGCTGACAGTGATAAAGATGGATCCCTGAAGAAACCACATAAGATAAGCTGAAGGGCACATCGATTTGTCAACTAATGTAAGATAATCAAAAGCCCGTCCTGCAAACCTAAGTGTGCGTGGCTCTGATTTAAAGCGTAATTCCGTAACTTGAACGGGGTAGCTAATATATAAGCTATGTCGAGGACCCAGAGAGAAACGCCACCATGAAGTACTGAGCTAACTCAAGGATTACACCTGCATAAATATTTGGAATTGTAAAATAAAAGATACGTCTATATAAAAATATATATATTTGAAATTATAAAATAGAAGGTGCGCGTTTATATAAAAGTTAGTTCAAATTTTTTTTCCACAAAAAGAGCAAAGGTTACTAAAAATGTGAAAAAAAATAGCGATGATTGTTGACTTCTTTTTTAAGTTTATTATAAAGATGTTAGGCCCGTTTGGTTAAATTTTATTATGCTCCTATGGTACAGTGCAGTGCAATGCAAAGTAATATTAACTACAAGGATTATGTTTTTGTTTTTTTTAAAGAAAGGTCTAATATATTGCTTTTTAATAATTATTTAAAATTGATATAATAAAAGGACCATTACAAATAATCCATATTGTCCTTCGACGATTTCCTTCAAAACCTATTGGTCACGTTTGGTAGGAGGGATTGATTTTTAATGGAATGGGAATAGTAATGGGATTGGGAATGGGAATGGTAATAGGATTGGGAATGGGGTTTTTATTTTGTGTTTGGTAGGAGGTAATATGTGGAAGGAATAAATGTATTTATTTTATTTTATAATAAGATATATAAAATTAAAAGACTGTAATACCCCTTGGTATTTTAGAGCTTGGGACTCTAACCTTTTGCACTCCTTTTCTACTAAAAAGAAGACCACATGGTCATATATATTGTTTTAAAAATAAATATATTAAAATTTGCCTCATTTTACAACAAAAATAAGTAAAAATAAATTAAATATTTTGAAAATCAGAAAATTTTTCACCGTATCTCAACAAATTTAAATATAAAAAAAGTAATAAAAATTTAAAATTTATCCCAAAAAAATTATTAATAATTCCTTAAAATTATAATAAAAATTTATCACTAGGTCCTTAATATTATAATTTACTTAAAATTTAGTAATACATTTTAAAAATTAATAATGCATAAGATCAAAAGATAAAAAACAAATGACAGTTCTTACTATAATTTTCTGTAATATTAGTTCAAGTAAGTAAGATAATCCATATCTTACTTCAAAGAGCCATCAAAATATTTCTATTTGAAACAAAATATTCCTACTTGAAATAAAATATTTCAAGTCTATAACAAAATATTCCTGTTTGAAACAAAATATTTCAAGTCTAACAAATTATTCCTATGTTTCTCATGAAAAGAATTCATGAAAATATCCCAACTTCAGTCACACAAATATCAAAATATCCATCAGCATATTCATGGAGATATTATTTCACAGATCACATCAACTTTCCCCTCTTGAGACATGGCAAAAAATCCAATTAGTATACTCTCATCAGATATCATCTTGACATAAGCTGCCATACATTCTTTGTGTGAAAGTCCTTCAATCTTCATAAGATCACCATAGAGTGACTCCTTCATCCCATCCAAACGTTTCTCACGTTCAACCCTATCCAGACGCATTCCCAGACGATCACTTGCCTCCATCAAACCTTCAGAAAATGAACGAGCAACTGTCTCAATACCTTTGAGTAAGATGTCATCACGATCAGCTCTTGTGCGCTTTCGCTTTTTGGACCCTGAACTTGCATCAGATGAAATGTGCTCAGTTTGATTGTTGACATGTGAAGTGTCTTCCGGATGTGAAGTGTTAACATGTGATATATCCATATCAGCATCTGGGTCAGCCTCAAGCATTGAATTGTCCAAACCAATCTGATCTTGAAGCTCCTCAAGGACATCTTCACATGTTTGAGCATCCTTGCCGGTTGCCCTGTCCTTGCCAAACATGTCATGAAGCTCATCATAAAAAGAGAAAGACTTGTTCCGGAACTTAGCTGCCTCCTTGTGCGCCTGTAAGGATAACACAAGTTACATTCATTAATAAATAATTAAACAACCTGAAATACAATTATGAAATTAATTGTAACTTAAACAGTTATGAAATGATTAAATTGAGAACAAGATGAGGAGCCACACAAGCGAGCCAGATGAGGGAACCCACAAGCCACGACTTCCTTTATTAGGGGCATAAACCCAACAAAATATTCATTCAATGGCTAACATGGAAATTAAAGCAAAACAACCCCATCTAATTTGAACGGGTCGGAAGGCACAAAGCAAGTGGGAAAAACAAGAAGAACATGGCCAAAATTCACCAAACAACGCCATGCTTAACATTTTAGCCCATACTTCTATAAAAGTTCTAAACTTGCGATTTTAGATTTAAGAAAGTCTTGATAGAAGTGTTTGATATGGTTGAGGTGATAAAATCCCGACAATTTTAGGCTTCATATGATATAGAAAAAAGGTTACAAAACTACTTCCTATATCTTTTTCCTCAAAAACACACAGTTGTTTCAACCGCGCGTTGAGCTAATAAGCTCACAAAGAGGAAAAGAACCACAGTGGTAAATGATTATATGTATGTACATCAAGTATAATGTTATGTATATATAACTGAGATTCATTTTAAGTTCCAAAGAGCTGTGTGTATATATAATGGTCCACTACTGACTACTGACTACTGACAACCAGCAACAAGTTGTGGAGCATATAAACAGCACAATCTCATCAACCGTATGAGATCAGCATATCAATATTTCAAATTTTTTATAGTCTACATAAATCACCCTGTCCGTATGAGATCAGCACAAGAAGAACATGTAATAGAATGAATTATAGTCTACATATATCAATCAGAGTAGTGAACAGCAGCTAAATAAAAAATATCAGTGGTCATTAACAAAAATAATAGCCATATGTGTAAACTGTAAAGCAAACATTTACCTTTACATACTCATCCCATACTGCCTTAGGAGCTGTCACACATTTCCTCTCAGCATTTCAACCAAATCCAAATAAATTGAGGAGGTCAGAAACCACACCATAGTTAGTTTTTAGCTTCTTAATCCTAGACTGTATGTGAGGATGGGCCTTAAGAGAACATCCTGGTATTAAATCATACAGCATATCTTTCAAAGTGTTCAACACACCAGACCTCAAACCATTCTCACACATAAGTTCACCCTTAGCATGCAATACCATCATGCAATGAATTAGCAGCTCATCCTCTTCGGGTGTCCACACATGCTTATCTAACTTTCCAGATTTTTCTGACATGTTTGGTTGACTATAAACATAGAATATTCCAGCAAATAAAGTTAGCACAAAGTTAAAACCATATCCCAACAAATAAACTATATTCCAACAGATAAAGTCATAAGGTTAAAACCATATTCCAGCAACTAAACTCTGTTCCAGCACAAAGTCTCCACCATATTCAGCAAATAAAACTATATTCCAGCACAAAGTTACAGTGGTACGTATGGTAGAAATGAAATTACAGCAAGTAAAGTCACAAAATTACAAGGCTTAAAATAACTCTTTCATGTAGAAGCCCTATTAGAAGTAAAAGCATTGAACATTTCATTTGCAAGATTATCCCTAAATGTAGCCCATTCATCAGATGTGTCCAAGTTTTGAATTGGGGGGTTATCCATCCTATCAACATCAACTTCAAGCTCTTCAACTTCATCTTCAAGTGGATCACCTTCTTGACGAATTAAGTTGTGAAGGAGGTAGCAAGCAATTATTATTCGGTTATATGTCCTAATGGGATAAAATGATAGGCTTCTTAGGATAGCCCATCTTGACTTCAAAATGCCAAAACACCTTTCAATGACATTTCTTGCAGATGAATGTCTCATATTGAAGTACTCTCGTGCATTTCTAGGATATCGCCCCTCTCTCCACTCACTTAAATGGTATCTTTGTCCTCTATATGGTGCAAGGAATCCCTCACAATTGGTGTATCCAGCATCAACCGAGTAATATTGACCTTGTGGAACTCTCAAGCCATTCCTCCTACTAATGGCATCGCGAAGAACTCGTCCATCTGCTGCAGACCCTTCCCACCCAGGCAAAACATATATGAAGTACCCATCTTGTGAGCAAACACCCAACACATTTGTCGTTATCTCTCCTTTCCTATTTCGGTATCTAGCCTTGTCAAGAGAAGGAACTCTCATTTTTACATGAATTCCATCTAATGCACCTAAACAATGCTGTAACAAATAAAACACAGATTATATACTTCTCACATATCTTTAAAAATTAATGATAAATATATAACATGTATGTCTACCTTGAACCACTTCCACTTATCGTCATTTGAGTCTTTTGGTACAGGCTCTGGTTTCTTCAACAACATATTTCCAAGTCTCATCATACCATTAAGCACTAAGTTGAAATACCTACTAATAGTTTCTCTAGATCTTCCAAAGTTATGTTGTATCACTCTATTCTTCACATGATGTGCTAATATATGTACAAATATGGCAACTTGCTCATCTATAAGCATATGCTTACTAGGTTTGAGACCACCCACATCTCTTAGCATATAACATAGCTTATCAAATGTTGCCCTATTCATTCTAAGTAGGTTGAAACATGCCACATCACTAGTAGACACCATTCTCGTTAGATAACACCTCTTAGCAAAAAAGTCCATTTGGTAAGTTATGTGTTTGACTCGTTGTCTCCTTAACATGATACTCATACATATACAGAAAAACAATCCCTGCACTGCCTCAGCCATGCTCACCCACAAAAGCAACACACGTAATAGTTCTCTCTTTTCTTCAGATAATGCCATAACTGTGTAACCAATATACACATATAAGAACAATTAAATCACAAATCTACTAATGTCACAAACCTATTATTCATGAATTAATCCAAGAGATACTAAAAAAAAAATTCTCTAATCTTGAACTAAACTCATCCTTCAACAAAAAACCATATACACAGATTAATTACTCTAATCAGAATATATACACTTAATATATATCCCTTCTTCACACTCTCTTTCTGAGTTGCTTCTTTTGCCTGGCTACCTCTCCTTGATAATAATCGATTATAGTTTACCTCTGTTTCTGATACCCTCTCATTTGTTTTCCTTGTTAATTAAATCTTATATTAAACTAACTCTAACTATAGTTGTAGTCATAGTTGATACTGTTTTTGCAGCCATATATACGATAATCCTATGATCTACTATATTCAATTCTTGCTAGCTAGCACTGCGTTAGATTAATTTAAACGAAATAAATTTCAAAAATTAAAATTTCACTTCACTTATTTGTCCTTTACCCTCCCAGTCAATTCATCAGTTTACAGATGTCACCCATGAAACATGCAATATACGGTTATCTGATGCAGATTTTTTCCCTTCACAGGAAACAAAGAAATTCTAGCTTTTACATAATATTTGTCTTCTTCTGGTAACCTTTTCATTTATTATCTCTCTCTTTTACAATGAGAAGAGAAAATGTTCTATACATGTGCGAGTCCGTAAATTCGCGTTCTCAAATATAATAAGTTTCAAATCCCCAAGAGTTTAACAACCCCATGCATGCATGTATGTATATAACCTCGAAAAAATTAATGTATGTATGTCTTGAAAACCATTATATTGTTACTTTCTGCTCAAAATTTAAATGAACAATTAAATTAAATTTCAACTAAATGATCATTCATCGCTATAATTAAGCATATTGTAGGCGTTAAGGAAGCTTTCCCTTTATGCATATGGTTGCTGTTATGCCACCTGGACGACACACACACACATATGGCCATTTTAAATTGGTTTGGTTCGAAAATATATATAAGTCTAATTTTCAACACTATTTCTATTTTTTTTGGGGGCCAAAAATTACTAACACTATTTTAGCTTAATTAACTCGTCTGCCTCCTCATCAGTTAAAGAAACGAGAGTTTCTGGCAAGCTACCTACAAAAAGTTGGGGAACTCTACTTTCATGAAAAAATGAAGGACTCGCATGGGCCCTTTATATTCTTCTAACTGATAAAACATCAGGTATATATCAGGTACAACTGAAAATGCCCATATACTGTCATTCTGCTGTTTCTTCTTTTGGAATATATTCTAAAACTTCCTTAATTATTGCATCTTCTTCAACATTTTCCTGTCATCTTTCATGCACGCATATAATCATATATTACCTTCATTGAAGTTTGGGATATATATATATATATGGCGCTTTTGGATTAGACCGATGGGTAATAATTAAGCTCCATTAACTTCTTCTTAGATTTTAACATATGGGTGTTACCGAAATATTTTTGAAATTGATGAAATATATGAGGACCGGTTTTATAATTCAGGATATAGGTGAATGTAATCTAGCATAGATAAAATCGATTAACAGTAAGTAGGTAAACTGTAAACTACCTGATGAAGATAAAATCGATGAAGCACTAGCATGGCAAATCAGATGAGGGAAATCAAATCAGTAACTATAAATCATTGACAGACTATTTACAATCTCAGCATTATTAAACGGATTCATGTTTGTGATGCTATCCATATTCCAAATCCACCAAAATTTGTGAATCGAAGAAGATTCAAAAAATTGTTGATGAAAACTGAAAAAAATAGGGATAGCATTTATCTTACCAGTGATTGAAGATAAACAAAGTGACCGAGAGCGACAATGTGAGCGATGGCGTGAGCAACTGACTGAGCGATGGACTGAGTGATGGAGGAGAGCGGCGTGAGAAAGATGGAGATTGAGAACCGAGAGGAAATGGGGCAAAAATGAGAGGGGTAATTTTGTCTTAACATTATTGTACTATGGGTGTTTTCGTCTTTTATGCTTTTTAATCCCTGGATTAAAATGGCATTACCGGGGGGGAAGGTGGGATTGTATAATCCCACCAATGTGGCATTGAACAATCCCTGGTAATCTTTAATCCCTCCTACCAAACATGACAATTTCACCCAATCCCTAGTCCATTCCATTCCCTCCCCCTCAATCCCACCTACCAAACGTGGCCATTGAGTCCTCTTATGCAAGCGGAGGGAGAGCATGACGGACTAACGTTTGCAGTTTTTCTTGTTCATATTTGTGTCTCATCTATCTTTCTTGGTCTTTGTGCTTTTCTCAAGTCTGGTTTATCGCTGTTAGTTTAATAATCTTACATGAACCGCAAATTCTTGTGAAATCTGAGTCTTTTATTGCAGACCTGAGGTGTAGAGGGAAACCAAAAACGAAATACTTTGAACTTGACACAAGAAGCGTAATGGATGATTGAGTTGGTAAAATTCATGGACGTGGTGTAAAAAGGGAGGGAGAAATCTGCGGAACAACAAGGGATCTTGGTATGTTTATTGGAATCCGAACCCAAGCGAAGAGATGAGTATGAGAAGAATTGAGCAAAAGTATTTGATTAAAAAAAAAAAGGTATCAATGAAATTAATAAATAAGAATACAACCACACCGTCAAAATAATGGAGGAAAAATTGAGCAAAAAAAGAAATTGTCATCATGGCATGATTTGGTTTTTGGGGGCAAATATTATCTTCTCACTTGATTGAGGATAAAATTCACATTTTATAAATAATTGCAAGCCTTCAATGAGTTTTCATGAGGGGACTCCAAGGAATAGAAATTATCAAAAAATGTTTAATCCTTTTTGCATCTGTAATTTTTTTACCATCAATAACCCCAACCAAACAGATCATCTACGGTAATGCAATGAGGATTATCATTTCACATTCACAATAAAGTTGAACCAAACAGGTCCTTAATCATTTACTTTTTTTTTTTCCTGCGTTTGTTGGAGGCTCCCTAAGCATCCATGGAGACTTAGATAGACTTGATGTGGGTTTAAGTTTTGGTCTGGGCCTTGAAAAACCTGCTTTATGTATGGACATGACATCAGGCTGTAGGCTTGCAATCCAAATCTATGTCTCTTTAATAAAATCCTATCCTACCAACGGGAGTTGATCCAAGTGATAAACGGCTTGGTACCGCTTAAGTGAGGTCTCGAGTTCGAACCTCAGTGTATACAGAAATTCCCGTTAGGAGACTCACCCACCACAACCAGGTGCGCGACGCGGGTCGGATCTAGATGTAGTCGGAGCAAAAGCTCCAGTGAACTGGGTGGGCAACAAAAAAAATAAATAAATAAAACCCTATCCTATTTCCCCTCCAAGTAACAGGAACCAAGAGAAAGCAATCCATGTCTGAAACTTCGTGTACAGTTTCATGTAATTTGCTTTTGGATTGCCGATAGATAGCACCCAGAGAAGAAAAAGAATATAATTGGCGAAGAAAGGCAATGTCATCGATCCGACATATCTTGTCCTGCACTTCGGATCCTTGCATTGTGCTGGGGGAACTGGTTCACTCAAAGCGGGGTCCTTGCTTAACATCTTGAAAGCAATAATCTATAAACAATCTTAAAGGAAGCCCACAATATTTTAAAAGTTACTCCCTCCAATCCTACATAATTAGTTTATAAATATTAAAAAATTAGTTAAAATAGTTATTTGGGAAAAAAAAAACACATGTTGGTTTTTCTAAAAGTACTCTACCTGAAACCTAATTGTTAAGTTGATCTTCGCCCTAAATGTAAAACATATTTATCATATTTATCAGTTTTTTTTTAAAATTAACTTTATTGATGCTCTCTCAATCACAATCAAATAAGAGACGAAGGGAGGATACTAAGAAAGATGATTATGGTATTTTAGGAAAAATATGTCATATTTCTTATAATTAACTAACTTGCTTAACTTCCTTAATCTAATCAAATTAGTTAAACAAATCTTATATTAAGTACAAAAAGAGTACCCAATCCAGTTCGTACATTTAGGACTCGAGTAGTAATACTAACAAGGCACATGAAGAAAAAATGTTCACAGATACATTTTTTGGACCCATGATGTGGTCAAAGCACTGTTTCAGTTAACTATGGAAAAAAAATCATTCCGAGTGACGATGTTGCCCTTTGTAATTTAAAAAAAAAAAAAAGTTAATCGTTTTTTAATTCTGAAATCAAAACGTCTTTTCTCGCCAGAAACAAATTCATTTGGTAGGAGATTTGTATTTGACTTGCTTAAAATTTACTGGCACTTTGTAGCATCTCAGGCTTTGGAACAGAGCATCTGGTTCTTATCCACAAAATTATTTCAGGCCAAGGGTTCCATATGCTTAATGGTACCCCGAATTTTGTTCCCCAATAAAGTCTCCCTTTTGAAGTCAACAACTAACTAAAAACCCCTTTAATTATGGTTAATGCTGTTGAAACCAGAGTTCACGTTGGTCAAGGGTTAGGTAAGAATTCTCAGACGATCTAAGAACCATGCAAAACGTTCTCCAGAGAACTTGAGAGGAAGAAGCTCAATAAAATGGATATTCCTCATTATTACACAGATTTTTTTCTTCTTCTTTTCTTTCCTCTCTTTTTTCTTTTCATGGTGCACTAGGAGTGTGGAAGAAAACAAGGGAAAATTGAGGGAAGCAAAGTAGTTATTATACAATAGCTTTTGAAGCTTATCTCAAACTCTCAACAATGGAGGTTGTAACATGTGTTAGAACTTAGAACGCTTAGCATCAAGCTCAAAAGCTTCCTAGGATGGAAAGATGCTATGCTTCTAATAGATTGCCTTCGTTAACTATGAGTATACAACTTAAGATGAGGAAATTAAAACAAGGTAAGATGTTGTTTAAGGAGGGAACTGTGAGTTGAAATGTGTGAAATCAGGAATCTTCGATCGTTTCTTTTCTCTCAGTCTGCACCACCTGAAATAGAAGTAATGATAACGTTATCATTGAACCCCTATTGAATATCATTTGCTAATTAAGAAGCCTTATAAAATATTCTCAAATGCCAAAAAAAAAAGAGAATTCCCGAAAAGCCAAACTTTTCTTACCAAAGTCTCTTGGGGTTTTGCATTTGAAGCATTCTGTCCTGCTAGCATAATTGTGCACTCCACAGCCATATCTGCTACACCAGAAAGTGAACAAAATCTTTGCGTCACATAATGAAGAAATGTGGCGATCTTATATATTTTGTTTAGTAAGATAGACAGAAGATCGGTCAGATTTAGTGAGAAGATTGTGTATTAAGCGCCTTTATATGAAAACCATATTCATTTTCATTTGTGGTCACTCTCATTACTCACTGTCTCAACCATATTCACCTTTTATCTAACAAGAAGTTGTTTATACTAAAATAAACAAGCAAAAGCAATGCTGCTCTTGTAGGCTAAAAGAAAAGAGGTTGCTCTTAATTAGGTTGTTCTGCTTTTCTTAAAGCTGCAAATCTATAAGATAAAGAACGTAGAATTCTTGTGAGTATTGTCGCGATCCATTTAACTTGCTATGAAATTTTCGTACTAGTGCAGGTGCAAAAAAATGCGCAGATCAGATACTATACTGAATGATTAATATATAAAGAGATAATGAACTGACCCAGTGCAAATCCAATCACCACTCTTCCATCCTGGAGGGAAACTGCAATCTGATCCATATCCTCCAGAACCCACCATGTTTCCTGCATATAGAGAAGCATAATCATCTTTGGTGGCGCCGCATCTATAGCAGCTGGATCGGCTGGCGTAGTTATGAGCCCCACAGTTCATGGCAGTGCAAAACCAGTCCCCTGCCAAAGCCTCAGTCCTATTGTATCCATAAGTTGAAGGATCAGGACCACCAAACTTGGGGTACCCACAACGCTGGCACGCATCTCTCTTCTTGAAATTTATGTGCTGGCAAGCTCCACACATCCAATCTCCTCCCGCTGCCCAGCTCATTTTTCCTGTTTAATTACCCTTACATGTGACGTTATGGTTTACAAAAATGTCAGGTCTCATCAAATCTTAGCATTGTTCATATGAGAGCTATATGATTCATCTCGTTGGACATAAACCCACGCAACAATGAGAAACTATTTAAAAGCCTGCACTGATGAACCTTATGTTCTGTTATTCTACTAACAAACTAAGGTAATGAAAGAAAGGGATTTTGCATAATCAACCATTGATAGCAGAAACTACATATAGGAGCTTCATGTGCTATGATTGAACCATGAGGCTACACTGGACGAGGATCTATAGACAAATTCGGATGAGATAAACGCAGAAGTGAGATGTTTACCTTAGTACAGAATGATCAAGAACACGAATGCGCTCAAAGAATGGCTTGCTGCTATGGGAGAGTCTGAGAAAATAACGCAGATGGTGGTGAGTCTGGTGGTTAAGTTGGGAGGGCTTTATATACTAGTTATGAGACCATATTGTGTGTGGGGAACATGGATGTTCTTTTCTTGTTCACTGGTAATCAAGAGATAGATTTCTCAAGATGGGATTCCAAAAGTAGAAAAAATTTTATTAATAAAAATTGCTCCTGTTTCTCACTCGTTATTCTACGACATGGGCTTATAAAAGTAAGAAATAACATTGCAGGTATGTACATCATTTTAATTTTTTCCAATCCAAAACCCGCTTTTGCCCTTCTTTACTTGATTCCTATGCATTATTGAGAGAGAACATATGCAGGACGTGAGGCATTATGAGGGGAAGCAACTATGTGGTAAGACTTCACAAGAATCTAACATCCCTTGAACCCCACTTATGTTAGTCGTTGATAATATGCACTACCTGATGTCTTAAATATGGGAGCTATGTAAGAGGTTTACTTTGATCCTAAATATAAGACAATCTCAATCCATTTTACCTCCCGACTTTATAATTCTTTTTCACAAAGTATCCTTGTCAGGTACACATAGTAAGGGAGTTTTTATCAAAAGGTAATTATAATATACTACCTCCGACCCTTAATATAAGACCCAATTGACTTATTTAGAGAAATTAAAGAAGTTCAAAAAAATATTATATATTTATCATTTTTCTTCAAACTAATTTGTCTAACTTATAAACTGATATATATATATATATATATATATAATCTAATGATATACATAAAAATTTTAAAGAGATTATGTGATATATGTTATAATTAATTTTTTAGCTTTCTTAATTTCTTTAAATTAGTTAGTTAGGCTTTACATTAAGACCTAAAGATAGTATATGATTATAAAAGATATTCTAAAAAAAACTAACATATATTAATTAGAAATAACTAATTTAACTAATTTTCTTAATATCCGCAAACTAGTTATCTGGCTCTTATATTAAGTATTAGATGTAGTATGAGCTCATCATACTACATAATTGGATCCATGCTTTGACGCAAAACAGTGTGAGTCCCTCGCCCAACCTGCATATAAACCTTCACTGGTTACGCGTCTGGTGGTATGTGCAGTATGAGAGCGAAAACTTGGAGTTAAAAAAGTTGAACGAATAAATTCCAGTCTTATGCACATCCAATTCCAAGTTATTTTTTCTTCTTTTCAATCACTTTATGACAATAATTGAAATTCCATTCGAGCATTCACCTCCATTATCAAACAACAATACTTTTGTTTCCCAGCGTCGTTAACGAGTATATTCAAGCTTAAATTCTTGGTTAATTCCAAATGAACATAAATGCGCTATCACAATGATTTTACATAAGTGCACAAATGGCAGGACGTGATTAGCAATATTTTCATGGTGTTGTACTTTTCTAGGGAGAAATAGTCGGATTAATGCATTTGTGGGTTCCATAGTTTTATAGATATTGGAAAGTCAATTTACTCCCTTAGTTTTTGTGTGTGTGTGTATAAAAGAAACACTTATCAAAGTCACGCGGTTCAAATTGTTCGCTAAATTTAATTAAAAACAAGCAATAAATTTGTAAGATATATATATATATATATATTTTTCAAATATCTCTTTGTTTATAAAGAGAATACATTAGACATAATAAATGAAAATTTATTATAGAGAGATAATAAATGAGATATATTTAATGGGGATAAAAATAAAAATACTAGTTTAAAATTTCAGATAAAAAGAATTTGTGTCTAATATTTAGAAACATCCCGCCAAGAGTGATTGTTTCTTACTAAAAGAAACAGAGAGAGTATGAAATTAAGGTAAGTATGTCAAAATATATTTTTGCCATTCTTTCTTTTTTCCCTAGGTAGAAATATCTTCTTATTAAAGGTAATCCTATTTAATACACTGTTAGGCACTACATATACGCGTATCTCCTAATGAGAATTCTACTGTAGATTTATCATATTACGAGATATTAATGTTTTTTGCCAAAACAACTCTATTGGTTATTTTTGCCATCCCCATCTGGCCTACATTCCCATCTCTATTCACTTAAACATCCTCCCCCTCAACCAAATGGGCCATATGGTGGTCCTTTTCTGCCGTCCGTCGACATTGATTAAATTGTTAGATCCTAATAGAACCAAACCCATTGATTTCTTGGAATGAAACAAACAAACAAGTCTTATAGAGCTTTCTCCCAGTATTTTCTCAGCCTCATTGCAAGATTAGCATTAAATGGTGTTTTTGTTTTTCCTTCCTTTTTTTAATATATCGTGGTTAATGCATTTGTGTGTGCGAAGGCAAATGATAAGAAACCGTATTGGAATATGGAGAAGGTTTGTGGCGGACCGACGTTGAGCGGAATATAGACAAGTGAACTTGGTCATCTACCTTTTAAAAAAGTGGTTCCTGGAGGGAATTTCTTTGAACCACCACATTGGAATATCTATGCGGAGAAGCTTAATTAATTCTCATATATATCCATATACGCACACATATACTACTTTCAGTTCTTAATATAAAGTCTAGTTAACTAATTTGGAGAGACTAAAAAAATTAGTTAGGTTATTTATTTGTAATAAACAGATGTTATCTTCTTTAAAATATCCTTAGTAATTATATATATTAGCTAAAACTATCATTAATAAAACCTTTAACATGTACAACTATTACAATGATTATTTTAGAAAAATAGATAAATATAAAAAACAAGTAGATTAAAATATTATATTTAAAACTAAATTGAATATCAAATTAACGTTGATATCAAGATCCAGAGGTAGTATATGCCAAGTTAATGTGCAAACTTGGAAAACATAAAATTTAAAAAATTAAAAATGAAAAAGTAATTATATGGTGGGACAGGCTCAGTACTTTAAACGGAATTTTAATACCACACTCAGTGATTCACTCGTACGAGACGCAATAATATAATATAAAGTTTCCTCATGCATGTCGTTGAATTTAAATTTCCAAAAAGGATATTACCAGAGAATATGCATGAATAAACTTTCCACACGCAAATTGTTAGATATTTTGAAAAATTACTGGTGCACAAAATATCACTTTTATAGCGGGCCCTTTACACTTGTCGCAAAACAATATAAAAATTGTGACTGGTGAATTTTGACTTTCTACACTGACTGCTGAGAAAAGCTTTCTGAAGCAGTTAAAAAAATTATTCAAACTATTTAATTTATTTGAAATTAATAACTTGGTTCAATTAACTGGTATAGTAAGTAATTGTTTTAAGCAAGATTTAAGCACAGAATTGATTATAAAATCTTCCTTTCTGTTATGTTAATTCTCCCCGTGCCAACTATATCGCCCCATATCACATGATAAGTCTCCTCTCCAGTCACATGTTAATTTGAAGGCAATTTTTTAATTGTTAACTTTCCAACTATATGAAAAAATTAACATTAACCGTTAAAATAATAACATTAATAGTTAATATTTATAACGTCTATGGGCAAAATTATTATGATTTTAAACTTTTGAAGCAAAATTTGTACCTAAAAAAACCTATAAATGTCTAGCACTCTTATGTGAAAACTTTCGCGAATCCTAAAAGCCTTTCTTAAAACAAGTAATTTAGTGCATTTGAATCAATGAAGGTTTTCAGTTAGTCTCGGTGAGTAGAATATGCGAAAAGAAATAGCCTTGTTGGAAGGATTTTCAACCTCTAATAATTCCTAAATTGAGTAATTACTTCTTACAATTTTTTTTAACTCTTTAGAATTTATCTTGATTCTATTATCTCTGACTCATATGCAAACTTTAAAATGGTAAAAGCCTTTCATATTTTAAACCCTTACTTTTTTAAACACAAGCCATATGTATATATCATTTGCTACCCCCTTGAGCATGTTACTTTTCTTTTTTCCATAAAGTTATGCATGCATGCACATCATTGTAACAACATTCTCTTCTTCATGTCATATACACCTTACAATAGTATTAATTGTTGCCTACATACCTATAGAAAAGAGAGAGAGAAGAAAATAGAGCAAAAAAAGAATAAAAATGGCGCAAGTAAAGTGAAAAAAGAAATTAAATCCAAAACAAAAAGAAAAAGAAGAAAGCAAAAGAAAAAAAAGGAAAATAAAGAAAAGGGCCATTGATTTATTTATGTACAACCAATATATATATCTTTGGAAAAATGACAGAAAAATGATTCCTAAATTTCAAAATTCCCAAATGATCACCTACATAAGCAAAATTTTAGTTAGGTATAGGTGATCAAATTGGGATATGCCAATTTGCCAAATTTAAGAAAAAGCACCAAGCACCCTCACCAGTTGGCTGATTGTTGGAGCTCCAGTACCAGCGGTGGTCACCGAAGTTCAAGTGGGCTACTGTTACTGAAGCCCAGACGGCTAGACGACATCCAGTCACTGGAGCTCTAGCGACTTGCATCTATTTTTTAGGAACTTTTTGAAGTTCAGTAATGTAATTGACAAGTTCTTTAACGTTATTAATAATTTTAGTACAGTAATTAATAATAGTTTTTTTAGGACATTTAAAAAGTGGTATTTTTGCAACTTCAATAATGCAACTAACAAGTTTTGTAACATTATTAACAACTTCGGTATAGCAGTTAACAATAGGTTTTTTAGAAAATTAAAAAAAGGTGTTTTTACAATTTCAGTAACGTAGTTAATAAGTCATGTAATGATATTGACAACTCTCATAACACCATTAACAAAATTTCCCAATAAAAGTTGATGTTGTTAATATTTGTACAACAAAAATTTTTTGTTTATTAGACAATCACTATGGTTACAAGTGTTATTAATATCATTACATGACTTGTTATTAGAGTCGCTAATTGCATTATGAGAGTTGTTCATATCATTATATAACTTGTTAACTGAGTTACTGAAGTTATAAAAATAACACTTTTGAATTTCCCAGAATACTTGTTCTTAAATACTATGCCGAACTTGTTAATAGCATTACAGAACTTATTAATCGTGTTATTTGTAACATCCCAAATTTTGACTCAAAAGT